TGGCCGTATTAGAGCTTGAACTGGAGGTAGGGATTGTAAGGTGGTGGAAATCACAAATTAGAAACAGTTTAAAAATTTTGATGACTTGGCAATCAAGTGCCCTACCGGAAAGAGTTTTGGGATGAAGAAATGGGATGGAAGATAAAATAATTAACATAACGTACATAAATGGACGAAACGTGAGAGAGGAACGACAGTGAAAATATTTTATTAATGCCAAAATTAGTATTTGTTACACGTGAACTTGCACGTTTATTACACGTTTGATGTCAAACTTAAAGAGTCGTTCAACGCGCACCTAACGACGTCGCAAATCGCCGCAGAACGTGGCAGAGTATAAAGTTGCTCGGTGTTTGTGGTAGCGAGGGACGCGGCACGCGCCCACCCCAACAGCAGGCGACCGGGCTGCGGTGGCGGCGGCGGCGGCGGCGGCGCGGCCGCGGGCGCTTTTTTGTGCGCTTTCGTCGCGTTCGGGGAAAGCGGGCGGGCGGAAGCGGAGAGGGCAGATGGGGTGGCGCCGGCGCGGCGCGGTGCGGAGGTTCGGATAGAGGGCGGCCCCCGTAACGGTGACGGTTGTGGACGAGCGGTGAGTGGCGTGAGGGCGGCGACGGCGGTGGCTGCGACGGCTGCGCTTCCGTCCTCATGAGCGCGCAGCGGCAGCTGGGTCAGCAGCGGTGTGCCTCAAGGACGCGCACGGACGACAAATGTTGATTCTGGAGTTGGTGCCGCCGTAAGGGGGACCAGGTACCGCGGATTGGGGTCAAAATATCAATTTTCTATATTTTATGCATTTTGATTCCCTATACTCTAAGGAGTTCCAGGGCAGTTTTTAATATGGCTAAAATCATTAAAAGGGAATTTTTATGTTCATGTGAACTACTGCACTTCAGTGACCACGCCCCCATTTTAGCTTGACTTCTTCAAAATATGTATTTGACTATTGTTACTCAAAGCTACAAACACAATAGTCTGCCTCAAGATGTAATGGATGTAATAAAACCGGTGTATTACCGGTCTTACTAGACCTGATTTATTAAGAACGTGTTTACTGTACATGGAAAAACTCAGCGTGTAAATTAATCGTACAATTATTTAATACGAAATAGGATACCAAAAGGAATCATTGCTAGGTTTCAGCGTATTACAGATTCTTGATGCAATCTAATAAAGGAAATGTGAGGTGAACGTTTTGGAGCATTTGGGAATATGTAGAGGCAACAACAAAACAAGATCTTTTGAAGCGACTTTAAGAATAAAAACTCCAATAAATCTATTGAAATGGAAGTTAAAAAACAGATAAAAAGAATGGCTCTTGGTGATGAAGAAGATTCAAACTCTCTACTCTATTCTCAAGTCTATTAAATTAGGTAAATTAATATATGAACTTCAAAATTCAATTTCTCACTTTCTGCACTTTTCATGTTTTAGGTACTGTCATCCCTGTAACAAATATAACTGATTAAAATTAATACCATTAGTAAAACTGGATTAGAAGTATCTGGTAATTTCATTCATGTTTACCAAACGCTTCAGTCTGTGAATGAGAATATTCCTCAGAATTTTCGTTTTTTTTGGAAGTCCATAGTAAAAAATATAAATATTCAATAAAACAAGTGTTTGGTTTGTAAATATATTTAACAAGCTTCTTCGATCTCTAAATGTTTTTTTTTTAAATCATAAGGTAACTCAAATGGGTTTCAGAGATGAGCGTACCTAAAATACGTAAACGTAACATTATCAGTATATGCGGTACTTGGTCCCCTTAACCAATAGGTTCAGCATGCTTAGGGTCAGTAATTTTGAGAGAGGGCCCCGAGTATTTAAAAATATAGTTTTAATTATAAAAGTTAAACAATTAAAATTAATAACTAAATTTTGACTGTGATTATTGTAAATGTAATTCAATTTGAAGTGAGTGATGAGTCACCTTTTACATTACGTCATTTCCCCATTGTGCTAATATAAAATTTTCATCTTGCACCTGTAAAGATCTAAAATATAAATTCATGAATCCGGTTATAAATTCATTTTTGAAACCCACGGCAATTACAATTATTTATTCAGAACTACTTTATTATGACAAAAATAATGAATAAAATAACATAATTGTAAATAAAAGATTTTTTTAAAAATGAGCCCATTTTCATAAAGCTATATAGCTCAAATAACTCTTAAGAAAACTTTCAGTTTCCAAAAAGTTTCCAAAAATTGCGCGAGAAATAGGAACAATGATGTATACAGATAGTTCTAGAAGAATATTTTGGAAAAGTAAGAAGGAAAGGATTACGTTTCAAGTTGTAAATAAACTCTGTGTTTGACAAGAATTGAAAAGCTGAATAAGGCGAATTATAGATTTGTGCAGCAAAGTTCACTTTAAAAAGAATTTTGTGATTTCAAAAACAAGTTCGATTATTTCGGTATTGCTTTATAAAGGCAACTCTAGTATTATATAGGAAAAATAACATTTATTTATTTACAAAAAATATTTTATGTTTATCCAGTACATGAAAAGTTCCGAAATTTCATGTCCCTACTATGAACTAAAGCATTTGGAAAGCCAAGACATTTTCAACGTCGACGGAATATCTTCCGGCACTCGTTCGTAGCTGTTGAAAATCTACCACACGAAGCGATGTATACAAAATGTCGTGTCTAATGTTTTCGCCTCTCGCGATACAACAATATTGCACCATCTAGAGGAGAATGACAGTTGCGAGAAGAGGTTGGCCCTAACGGAGCATTCTGCTGGGCGGGTGAGGCCGATCCGTGGCGGCTTTGCGTTGACGTCGCCCGCGAGGGCGTTGGCCACGGCCCGCGCAGAGGCCGCGCGCACGCCCTCTCTTCCACACGAACCTTTTCGTACAAAGCGCGCAATGGCTGGTTTGCACCACTCCATTCTTTTGGAGACTAATGGTTGCTTTGGCTGAAAAAACGTCCATCTACATGATTTTGCAACACATTGGCTTTGGTAAAAAAGTATATAGCCAATTATTTCATTTCGTTTTTCTTATAATAATTCAAAAGCCCTTCTGAAATTTGGGTTTTATAATTTTGCTTTTACACTACTTCGGACGTGTGAAAGATTTTTTAATTTAATTTCCTTCTGACAGCTTCCTTTACATGCTCTTTATATAAAAATGAAAAAAAAGATTCTTTTAGAGATATGTGAGGAGTCTAGTCAGACAGACACACCACAAGATATTAAAAGGTGACATTATTGCTGTTGACATTGTAGTATCCTACTTTAAAAGTTATATAATAATAAATAGTTGAGATATGTACATTCAGAACCCTGGAGCAGGTAGGGTAGAGATCTCCTTTGCGTTCTAATAACAAAGTATGGGTCTTTGGCTTTACTAGATCCAGCATGTAAAACACTGGAAACACTCTACATCTTTCTTGCCTTTTTCTCTCTCCAACTCACCTTTCCTCAGAAAACAAACAAAGTTTTATTAACAACTCCTTTCTGCGCAGAACATTCACCCTCTCATCTCCTCGCATCACCTGCGAACGGAGCGACGTCCATCGCGCGCAGCAAATCGCAGGAAGCTACCAGAAGGATCGCTGCGCGCAGCGGGCGGGGCTCTGCGCACGCGCGCTGGGCCGGGCCGCTCAATCTCACTCACTCTCCAACTCACAAATACAATATATATCTCTCTTGGTAAAAATATCCAACTAATTTGTCAAAATAATAAAAAATCCCTGATCTGGTTGACTAACAGTAGACACTAGGTACAAACACTAACTTAATGGCGGGGCCGTCGCGACGCCGCGGCGCAGCTGCCCGGCGTGAGTAGTTGCGCGCCGCGCCACAATGGCGCTCGTCGCCGCCTCTCTCTCCTCCGCTGCCCCGGCTGCTCGTCCTACGTGCCTCCGCCTTCCCTGCCTCCGGCCTCGCTTCGCGCCTGTCCCCGTCGGGGCCGCTCTGGGCTGCAACGCTATCGAGTACGATCGTAATCTACCCAATCGATGTTTCCACGACTGAACGCACTCGGAAAATGCTTGTTTCTGGATTTTGACAAAACACCGTGATTATTTGGTACTGAAAATTTTATATCAGAAAATCAATACATATAAGGACTAATTTTTCATTTTCTATCGTTTAATTTTGCATTGTGAAAAAAAACCCTCAAGAACTAGTTACACGCTGAAAAAGTCAATTTCTGTAAATCGTCAGATAATGCGAGGCATTTTCCAATCCCACCAACATTTCTTATATAAAACTGAAGAATAGGATTCAAAACGATATGAGTGATGCGATCGTATCGGCTTTGTATTGCCTCAGAGTGAATAAAATATAACCCAAAATACATAACATCCTCGAATTCAATAGCATATGAATTTCAAATTGTGATATTCCAAGAAACATTCGATTTCTCCGAAGAATGAAATTTTCTTCAGGGTCACTGAATTCGTAATTTGATGGAACTTAAAAATGTTTCTAGGTTAAAATATTAAAGTTTTTAAAATCCCTTTAAAGGTACAAAAATGTTTAAAATACAAAAACTTTTCTTTAATTTGTTGATTGTCGAATGCTTTATCTCTAGTTTGTACTGTTAGAAAGGCGAAGGTCTGAGGCAGGGTGTAGGAGCGTCCCAAGTTCTTCAACTCGATTTTTTGCCCATTCTTCCTTCGGGCCTTTGTTGGGCTTTGCATACTGCGGAAGGCGACCTCCCACAGAATGGCCAGCGTCCTGTGCAATCGGATCGCCTGAGAGCGGTCGGGCCGGGCGCTCTCAGCTCTGAGAGGTCGTCGCCCTCGCCCGCGGCCCTTGCAAGTTTCAAATTTAGGAGAGCCGGGCAGCGGAGGAAAGAGCGGAGCGAGAAGGGCCTCGGAGCCATGTTTCATGAGCGCGGGGGGGGGGAGCGGCGGCGCCTGAGGAGCCGGCGCCACCGGGTCGCGCCGGGCTCGCGCTTAACCTAACGTTGACTATATACCAGTCGGTACAACCCGTAATGGTTGGTGCGACACGAGGTGCGAGTGTGAGTCAGAGACTCGTGTTACAATTGCGGCTGCAAGCGGCGGCCTGAACTTGGGGTGGCGCTGTAGGAACAGGAGCCGCCGTCCTCCGGCTCGGAGGTGGGCGGCGAGGGCGCGCCGGGGCTGGCCGCGGCGCGCGCGCGCGCCGCGATGGACAGTCCTCGGGCTCTGTCTGCACGGGCGCAGCGTCGCGCGCCAGCGTCGGCCCAGCGCCAAGCGCCAACGGCAGCGCCGCCGCGCCGCCCCGAGCCTTCGCGCCGTGGTGGTTGTGGTGCTGCTGCTGGTGTTGTTGTTGAGGAGGAGGGCGCGAGGGCGCGCTCGGCGTCGCCCTCCAGCGACGCGTCGTCCTCGGTTCGTCGTCGTCGCGTCCATCTCGTCGTCGCCGCGCGCTCGCGGCCCGGCGTCGTCGAGGTGGCGCGGCGGCGAGAGCGGCGGCGCGGGCCCGGGCGCCTGCGGGCCAGGCGTCGGTTCCGGTCGTCGACGGCGGGGCCGTGGGCGCGCGCCGCCCCGCCTTGCGCCGCCCCCGGCCCGCCCCCGCCGGCGCCGCCCGCGCGGCACTTGTGGTGCAGCAGGTGGTGGCGCGGCGGAAGCGGGGCGAGCGCGCACACTGGAGGGCTTCTCGCGCGGTGGATGAGGGTGTGCGCTTGAGCTGGTTGGAGTCGGAGAAACGCGCGGCGCGACAGCTCGCAGCCGTACGGCCGCTCGCCCGTGTGCACGTGCAGGTGGCGCGCAGGTTGGCCATGCACGAACTGGCGGTACAGTGCGTGCGTGGTAAGGCTTCTCGCTGTGGCAGGCGATGTGCGTCTTGAGGTGGTGGTCACGCGTGAACCGTTTGTGGCACACGTGGCTCGATGGCTTTCTCGCCCGTGGTGCGTGGTTCGTGGTTTGCAGCACGTGCTTGTAGCCGAGGCGCGGCTGCACCGCCGCACGTGAACACCTTGTCGCGGCCGCGCCGCGGCGCACGCGCCCTCGCCGCCGTCCGCGCGCCGCGTCGGCTCTTCTCGCGCGAGGGGCGTTGCGAGGGCGGCGAGCCGTTGGAGGTTGGGTCGCGAGCCGCAGCAGCTCGACGCGCGCCGGGCTCGGCGGCGGGTCCGGGCTCTGCGCTTGGGCGCCGGAGCGGCGGGCGCTTGGGGCGCGGCGGTCCGGCGGCACGGCCCGTTGTTGTTGTCGAGACGCAGGCGGCGGCGCGGCGGCGCGGCGGGGCCGCGAGGAGCCAGCGCGCGGCGGCGGCGGCGCTGTGCTGTGGAAGAGCGCCGGGCGTGCAGCCGCACGGCGGGCAGATGGTGGTGGCAGCAGCCGCAGCGCTCGCGCGCCAGCAGCGCAGAGGGGTGCGGAGGCGGCGATGGCAAAGGCGGCGGCGGCGGGTGGCGGCGGCGTGCGGCGTCACGTCGGCGGCGCCGGGGGCGGGCGGGGGCCCCCGCGGAAGCGTCCGCCCCGCTCGCGACTCCGCCCCGCCCCGTCCGACGGCCTCACGCCGCGCCCGTGCGCTGGTCTGCCGCAGCTTCCTGCACGGGCGAGCGCCGCGGCTCCGCGGGGCCCAGACCTGAGGAGGAGCAGACGGCGATCAATAAGGGCGCGGCGCGGCGCGGCGCCGGGCGACGCCCGGAAGGGGCTGACCGGCGTCACAACGCATCGATCTCTGCTGAACCCACGGACGCCCCGAGCAATGTCTAGGGGCAGGACAATGTCCAGGAGGGCGCCCTCAGCCGGGCGCAGGTGCATTCGTGGTCCCGAGAGAATTCACATTTTACGAATCTTGATTTTAAAAGAAACACATTTGGGATCCTATCGCATGTGCCTTCAGGTGCGATTATATAAGTATAACATTCTAAATTTTCCGAAACACTCTTTATATAAAATTTGCAGAATATTTGAGAACGGTATGAGTTGATTCACCAGAGGCAATCTTTGGGAATGATTGAAAGCTTATTTCAGATATTTTGTGTCGTCTGGGATAATTTATACATATCAACATAAACAATGTATAAGCGAATTTATTGTACACATTTTTATTTTACTATTTGCGTATTATTCTTACATACATTTTATTAAGCTTTTCATAATTTCAATTGTAAGAAGTAATCACGTTTGCAGATCATATGATGTTTTAGTAACATTCGAAACGAATAAACACTTCAGATTCCTTGCCAGAAGTCTGGAGAATTGCTTTTTGTATCTTGTTTCAGTTATGTAATTGCAGAGAATCAAGCGAATTGTGAATTTCTGAGGACTGATAAAAGATGTGCCACAAGAGGACAACACAAGAAGAATATGAAAACCGCATGATCTAAAGATACTGTAACGTATCATGACATGCAATGGAAATTTACGAGGAAAAAGTTCACATTAAACAATGCAATGTATTTGAACTGGAAACACTGGAATCACCCCCGAAACACGTACTACACTATTCCGAAATTTATACTCATGTCATTTTGGCGTTCTGACTGTTTCGTCATAGAATGCTGTTGCACAACAATGAAATGTAATAGGAGAAAGTCTTTGATTAAAAAAGGAGTAAAATCAGTCAATGTTTTGACATTCGATATGATTCATTATATCATGTAAACCGGGAACTGTTGGAGTGTAATCATTCTGAAATGAATATGCAGTTTTTAAACTTAAGATGTAATTTGATATTAGTTTCATAATTTGGGTTTGTGTAAAGAATTTACTACCGCATATTGCTTGTAGTTTAGCAGTTTTTATTTTGAGAACTTTTTTACTCATGAAATTAACACAAATAACGTTTTGTCACGCATCTGATTGAACCGAATCAGGGCAATACGAATACATATGCACAGCTATTTTCTGTCCATTTTTTTTCTTACCACTTTATTTTATTGGCCGATTATAAACTACGCATAGGAGGCGGTATGCACTAAAAGAACAAGTTTCGTTAACATTATTAATTGCTGGGGATTCTTAAACTAGATTTCATTTGTGGAAGTATTATTAAATACCACATCAAAAATAATTCCAAATAAATTCCGATGCACTCCCAGTTTTAACTATGATAATTTTAGTTCAAGCATACAATCTTATCAAACTTTAAAGGCGTTAAGGCGAAATGGTATGTTGGTAGCTCAGTAACGAAAACTCGAAATGTTTGAAAAGTTGGAATCAATAGTTTACGTTTAGTTCTCTCGTCTAAGCGAAGGATGGCCAAAGAAAAATCTTCGTATCCTTCGAACGATTGCTGCTTTATGGCCTTTGCTACCCTGTCCCGGTCCGGAAGCTGTAAGGGCCCCCCTCCCCTCTCCTGGCCCAGGTGGCAGCACTGACCGCCCCTCGTGGTGACGTCACCCGCAATGGCCGCTCGCTCCCTCCGCTTTGCTCCCACATCGCAATGTCTCCTCCGCCCCGTCCGGCGCGGCTCCCGAAGATAAAGATTGACCCAGCCCCAATGGATGAGGTTGCCCGCCGATGCTCGCTGGCGCCATCTGCTAGGAGACGGACATAAGAGAATTGGAAGAGGCGCGAAGAACTTCAGAGCTGCAGTGTTAGAACGGTATCCGACTACGGAGAGCTCTTATTCTTTTCAATGGTATCGGTGAAACTTTTGTGGAATTCAACTATTTAGAATTTACGGAGATAAAACTAATAACAAAATGCAGGCTTTACATAATTATAATAACATATACAGTTTTAAATGCAAACAAAACCTATTTAAGGAATGTTTCCCCATCATCAGAGCTTCTGAAGCACCAAGTAATAACTTATGATTTCAGAATGAATTTCGAGACTGCGTAATAAAAATAATAATAATAATAATAATAATAATAATAACAATAATAATAAAAAAGAAGTATTTCTCCTAATACTTTTAACGATATATTTTCTTTTGTAAAGCAGAAAATGCGAAGGAATATTGACATGCACATGGATGAAAGCAGACTGCTTAAGAAAAAATCTAGGCAGATCGGGATATAGTTGGAAAGAAATAGACTATATGCTGAAGAAAAGAAAATTGAAAGGTGCGGTCTGTGTCAATGAAATAAATAGGACGTATCGTGTTAAGATTTATTAAATATTGTTATTTAGGATAATGTGGTACTGGAAATACTTAATGTTTCATACATTCAGACCTATAAATATATAATTAAAATGTTCGTAGATGAATCACAAAAAAACACGTGCGTTAACGTTGTGTGTAGGAACCGTTTATCTTTCCTTAAAACCAAAGCTCGGTGTCTGCTTTTTTAAGATAATATTCGTTCATATTAAACGTGTTTTCATATTGATCAGAACTTTATATTATATATCATACACGCAAAAAACTCTGAAGAAACCTCAGTTCTTTACAATTACGACATCATATTTCTAACTTGAAGAAAATGTTCATGTTTTATGGCTTCTTATAACACAGAAGTCTTCCCTCTCCACTTTTGGTGTTATATTTTTCAGTAAACGGTTTGTGTTACAGAAAATGAGTGATACATAGATTAAACTGACACGTGATCCTACAATTTTGATCCAGCATATTATTTTAAAGCAAGAATTGATCATTATAAGTAGTTGATTTATTCTGCAACTAACTTAATATGAGACCATTATCTGTAGCTGCAACACACCAATATTTATTTAAATTATTAATTTTATATAATTGGTATTTTATCATTGGAATGAACAATTTCGACTGTCGGTCAATCAGTTTTCTACACCCATTAAGTTTTTTTTTCTCGGTGCGCTGTATTTGGACCTGATGGTGCAACCCAAACCCAGGGTTCTGAAGTAGGTCCTTTGTCTCAATTTATCTTGTGTAGATAAATAGTACGTAGGGTTTCATATATCCGCACTCAAGAGTAGACATTGATGCAAAGTGTTAGGTGGCTGGGAAAACCCACAAATTACTGTCGTGTTCTACGGAGTTTAGACTGTAGGTACACTACGGTTTCTTGTTCATAGTGGTTCAGAATTGAAAAAATCTCGAAAAAATGTACAAAATAATTCCTTGAAGCTATTGTTTGTGAGAAACTCTTGAAAATAATGTCAAGAGAATTATTTTGCCGGGGTGGGTTCTTTTTGAAAACAGTTTAACTAGTTATTTGTTAAAATATTTCAGGTTATTATAAATATATATTTCGTGTAAGATATGTGGATAATAATAGTCAATGACCACAGAATACGAATGTAATATTATTCTCTCTATATCATAGATCGTTTTATGTGATAGAAACTAAAACTCGTATTATATTTTCATTGCCCTATCCCACTAGATGTTTAACTGAACAATTTTCTCTGAGCATTTCATATTCAATATTTCCTTGAAACTTGCGAGCATGTTTCGTGCCCCCCCCCCTCCGAGTATTTTGATTATTAAGAAAATACAATTTTGTAATCCATAATTCACATCATATGATAGTAATAAGTATGTTCAGTAACAAAACAGTAACAAGTTGCATCTGTAAAAATGGTTACCTTTGTTCAAATATCATCATCAGGTGAAAAGAAATGAAGCCTAAACAATATCAACTCGCACCCGAGCTCTCACACGAATACTGCATTTGCTTGCGCATGAGACGCAGTTCTTTCTTTAATTTTTTTCAAAGTGTTTCTTAAAAGGAGGAGACCTTATTCACCGGTGTCATATTCGACGGCGCGTCTTCAGGGAAAATATGGATTCATTTTCCCGGAGAAGCGCTAACTTACATGCGAGAAACAAAAGGGAAACGTTTCTGCTTATGTGTTAGATTCCATGTTTATCGGCTTGGATAATACTTCAGTGTAAGATTTCATCGCCTGTCGAGCCGGTTGCAACCATGTATTATTACGAGTACAATAGTTGGTGTTAATCGAGAGACAAATTGTGTGTTCTTAATATTGAACGGTGATTTCTTATTGTGAATACGTATTTACAGTACTTATTCATCTATTTGAGTAAATGTAGTATATTTTGCAATATTAGGTTCGTTTCGATCGTGTTTTATTTGTTTATTGAAATTGATATAACTAATTTCAAATTCGTGCAGAAATTGAAAGAAACGTATGCCGCTCAAATGCGAGGTGCGTATAGTTTTGTTAGATATCCAGAAACAAGGTAAAATCCAAAACCTATGAAGCAGTTTCGATTTTGACTAGTGACACCAAGACTCCAAGGAAAGTCCTTTCATTAAAAAAATTGCTATTTACGTGTTGTATTATTGATCTGCAACTTTTCGTTATTTGTGGTATGTAAAGAACTGTTGTCCTTATACACATATCTACTTATCCTTATACACTACCCTACGCTATTTCAGTATTCGTGAAGATGGTTTTTGTTAAAATACATATTTTATTGCAGTCCAATACGATATCTTATTTGTTGTTCTAGAGCAATGTGCGTGCCCCTTTTCGGGAAAGCATTTTCTGAGGATTTATCCAGGAGCATTTTTATTGCTGTATTCCACTAGTGGAGTTAAAACAGTGTAAATTCTTTTTTCTTCCACACAAATTGTGTGAAATTGTGGTACGTCTTATCCGCCGGCAAATGCGGTAAGGCGTTCCGTTGAAGGCGGCGTAGCGCTTTGGTCGTTCACGCTATAGAAATCTGTGCTGTCGGCCGCGGCTACGGCGCGTGGGCGCTAGTCGCACTCGTGTGATCCGCCGCGCCGCTCCGGGCTAAAGGGCGCGAGCCTTCCATTTTGTGACGCCTGCCGCAGTGCGCCTGCGCGACGCCGCCCGCGCAGCGCCCCCGCGGAGAGGGCTGCCGACCCGCGCGCCGCGCCCTACGACTCCGCGAA